ATGATAGCACCAGAGCAACATGGCTCCCGACAAAAGCGCTCATGCACTACGAACCTGCTAATTACACGCAGTAGCTGGACTGAAGCAGTTGATGGTAGAGCAGAAGTTGATGTCGTTTACATGGACTTCTCAAAAGCGTGTAATCGCTTAGACCACTGAATTCTTCTCCACACACTTCAGCCCTATGGCACCGGTGACCCATTGTTGCGTTGGATAGACAATTTCCTGCATGAACGTCGTTTGGAAGTGAGAGTACGAGAATCACTGTCCGACGCAATTGAGGTGAAGTGCGGCGTACCACAAGGCTCGGTGTTTGGTCCTCGTCTACTCTTGGTTTTCTTAATCGATCTGGCGAGGGCAATAAGTTCCGGTTTCCTATTCTTCTCGGATGATATCAAGTTATGGTGTGCGATCATAGAACCGAACGACCACGAAAAGCTCCAGCATGATCTCAACACGATTTCAAACTGGTCATTTCTGAATACACTACCGTTCAATGTGGAAAAATGCCATGCTGTTCAATTGCACCATAGGCATGACTACGTGTATAGGCTTGGGTCACATGTATTGCAAACAACTTCCCAAGAACGCGACCTTGGTGTGCTCATTCAAAGTGGCCTTGACTGTTCAAAGCAGTCACAGGCAACTGCGAAGAGAGCTAAGCAGCACGTCGGCTTGCTGCGGAGAGCATTCGGAAGATTCGACCCATCCCTCTTCCCTATGACACATAATTCTTACGTGCGCCCTCACGTTGAATATGCCATCCAAGCATGGCAACCTTGGTTGAAGCGCGACTTAGAAGTGCTAGAGAAACTACGAGGCAGGTCCACAAAGAACGTCGACGGCCTACGAAATCTGTCCTAGCATCAAAGGCCGAAGTTACTGGGAATTTTCGGTGGCCGCTACCGAAGGCTGCGCGGCGATCTCATTTTAACCTATCAAATATTGAGTGATCCTAATCACGTATGCCGTCATTTGCTGAAATTCAGTTATAAGACCAATCCCTGAGGTGACCGTCTGAAATTGTGTGCACAGTATAGCCGGCGGAATTATTTTTCTCTTCGGGTTTGCCAACCCTGGAACTCTCTCCCAAACTTCGTTGCTTCCTTCCCCAACTCGGATATTTTCAAAAACGATTGGATCTTGCCCTTGGCCCCCATCACTTCGTTGCCTAAACTGTGCTACTTTGGAATATATTAATTATCCCTTCAAACCGGATTCGTCACATAAACCTGAGGAGGCGGTCCAGAAGTGAACATCCTCGTCTCTACTTTTCTCACGAACAACTATAACTGTCCCCATGTTGCCTCCTCGTTCGCATACAATTCCCACTAACACTAATATGAATCAGCAGCGCATCTGCTAGGTAAACGCTTAAACAAACAACTCACTTATCTTTTGATAATAGTAGTTTACCCCCCCCCCCCGCCCATCCTTCGGGACTTGTCAACCAACTGCTTTTTATCCGGCATACATCATTGTTCATTGTACTGCGAGGGTCGCCCTGCCCTTACACTGGCTCAAATCCGCGTCCTCAGATTACGAGACAAGCTCGTTACCTTTAGGCTACGGGCCGGCAACTACTGTTGGTAGAAAAGACTAAACTCTTAATTGCGCTTACTATAACGGAATCATCCTGGAAATGTAGCTCGTTATAGTTTTTCACGGCTGCCATATGCACCAGGTACTTCGCCCCTTGCCTGCTTTTCTGTATCTCCTTAGAATGTTAGGAGAGAAATCGTCTCTCACCCTTGCATTACGGACAAACTTCTGAGCTCTCTTTAAGCTCACACCTAACAGGGTCCTGTTCAAAGCCGGTGAACACGATCACCAGGTCGAGATAAAACCTTTTGTCGCCGGCTAATTTGGAGATTTTAAATCTCGCCACAACCAACCAACAGTATCCGATGGTGAAAATTGCGGCACGCTAATTTCCCCATATTTCCCGGGCCAACTTGGTACGTTATATGGGTAGTTGAGGAATAGCCTAATCCATTATGGTAACTCATCTCCATGCTATTACCGACATCAGCAGTATGCCGGTACGCAGCACCGACGCTTCGCTGCGGCGTAACCCCCACTGGTCGCACGTGGGCTAGGGATATTGCGACGGTCGCGTTTCGCCTACGCAGGCTCCAACCTGCGGCGTCAGATTAAAAGACAAGCTCGTTACCTTTAGGCAACGGGCCAAGTGATTTTATTAACTCAACGTAATATTCGGATTTTGGTGATATCGCTTGACTGTTCCATCTAAGTCCCTTCGGGGTCCTGGATACGCAACTTTCCGGGCTTTTGTTCTGATCCGCTTTCCACTTCATCACCGGTGGGGTCGGGGGCCCATCCTGTTGGTTGTGGGGAGCGGCTGAAAACTACATCCCTCAAAAATTGCCATTATCGCATGCAAAACGTGGCCATATGAAGAGGTCCAAGACCGATTGTTGGTAGTCAGCCCTCCACATGATCTTTGAGCTAGATTTGCAGATTTGAGTACTACACTTTATTAGCACTTTACAGGTCAATCGAGTATACATCTCAATCGGTCAACACATGCGGATGCTTTTCATGGGATTAGCAGAGTGGTCTATTCTTCGTTTGCTTCGTGTCCTCTACCAGACAATGTTTTGGAGCGACCATTTTGGTAACGCCGCCCAAATCCCTTGACGAGAGTTGCCCTCTTGATCCACGTGCGCATTAGTGTGGGTCTCCTGTGATCTTGCCATCTACTTGTCGAAATAGGAGCATAGCACCCTCTTGTCGATTACAGGCTTTATCTGAACTACGAATGGGTTTCGCGGCACATTTACTCTCTTTTCAGAAAAGTAAAACAGTGGGTCCCCTTCAGCCATTTCGTTAAGGCAGAGAGAAGACAGAGGTTGCGATATGTCAACATTTCGATTGTTCTCTTCAGTCGCAAACACAATACGATCAGAAACATACAAGGGATTATATACATGGGAAAAAAACACACCACCAATCAAAATGTCACAGTCAAGACCATGGCAACCGAATGGATTGCCTCAAGAGTTTCTGTGCACATAGCACAGGTTGATAAGCCTTAATTAACAACGCCTCACTAATTGCTAGCATTATCGGGTTTTTGTTACGTAACAACACTTTGAACGCTGTCTCGGGGTTTACGTGATGACGGGTTGTCATGAGGTGCTTGGTGATAGACGATGCCGGGCTCCGATTGATTCTCAGATTCGTCCCATGTTGTTGCGTAATCACTTGTCCCAACCACTTTGGCAAGTGTTCAGCTATCCTCTGAGCTAACTGACGGTTTGTCCTGTCTATGTAAATGTCACCGCAACCGCAGGTGAACTAATAAACAACATGGGAGGCCGAACTACCGGACGAGATGCTCTGACGGTTATGAAGAACACCGGTGTTGACGGCTGAGAAAAAGAATGTTTATTTGTTCTTGCCGTTCAAGGGGGACCATGTGGCAAATGACATCGGACGCAAGCTCCGGTCCGCCCTAACGCGAACCTACACGACAGCCCAGTTGCGACTCAGGCATACCACGCGAGCACTTGTTCTTCATAACCGTCAGAGCATCTCGTCGGTTAGTTCGGCCTCTCACGTTGTTTATCCAGTTCACCTGCGGTTGCGGTGACATTTACATAGGCAGAACAAACCGTCAGTTAGCTCAGAGGGTAGCTGAACACTTGCCAACGTGGTTGGGACAAGTGATTACGCAACAACATGGGACGAATCTGAGAATCAATCGGAGCCCGGCATCGTCTATCACCAAGCCCCTCATGACAACCCGTCATCACGTAAACCCCGAGACAGCGTTCAAAGTGCTAGTACATAACAAAAACCCGATAATGCTAGCAATTAGTGAGGCGTTGTTAATTAAGGCTTATCAACCTGTGCTATGTGCACAGAAACTCTTGAGGCAATCCATTCGGTTGCCATGGTCTTGACTGTGACATTTTGATTGGTGGTGCCCCTTTTTCCATGTATATAATCCCTTATGTGTTTCTGATCGTATTGTGTTTGCGACTGATGAGAACAATCGAAATGTTGACAAATCGCAACCTCTGTCTTCTCTCTGCCTTAACATTTGCTCTCGTTTATAGAAAACACTGAACTGCTGTGAACTCGATGGGAAACTGTCAATCATAAGCTTTTCTAATCATTGATAAAGGAGCTACTATCACAAATGCGACTTCTTTCTCCTCGTTTAATAATGCGTGCAACTTTGTGATACTTCCGTCCCCAAAGGGGCTTTAATAGTCTACAAACGAAGCGGAAAATAACCAAGATAAGTTTACCATTAATAGTTTTATACACTGACCAACTGATCGCCTTCTTACTTCGCTGAAGGCAGTGCCAGGCTTGATACTCTTCTGTGATTGCAACGTTTGTGATAAGCACAAGAAGCAATCCATTGTGACAACTAGTAATGTTTGTTCGTTTAAGTTCCACGTACTTCTTTTTGAAGCGTCAGTTCTTTCGCTTTGCCGAGATTGGTGCGCCTCACCTCCCATGGGGAGTTCGTCGTGACATGCTGGTGCTTAGGTTTCTACATTACGAAACATTGTCCACAACCTGCACAACTGGCTTGCTTGTCGTCTCTGGTTTGACCATCTGTTCTGTGTATGTGTAACGCTCCGCTATCCGTTCGATTAGGCTATTCGTGACGCGGGGCAGAAAAACCGCTAGGAAGCCATCTCCCCGATGTTGCCCTATGTCTGCCAGCTGTTTGTGAATGTGCGTTGTTAGCAACGTTTCGGTGCCTTGACGCTTAAGTGATTTGGATTTCTTCTTGGCCTCGCTTATTGCCCACTAGTAGTAGGTTCAGAGAAGCACCAGCTCATGACACTGAATGCAATGTTGCCGCTGTCGCTACTGGTGATTTTGGCGATGTGTCACCTATGATGATTTGCTCCACTACTCTAACTTATCCACACCACCTTCCATTAATGAATTACATATTTAAAACCATGCTGCTTACCAACTGGTTCATGTTCAATAACGATTCACTTCCTCAGGCCTTTCTCCGAATGGATCCAAACCGGTTGGGTCATGTGAAGTTGTTGGATCTGCATCAATTCTACACACCATCACGTGAAGCAATAAAGGAGTTTGGTATGTATCCCTACGATGCGGCGTTTGTGTTACCTCATTTCATAATGGAAGTGCAAATGCACTGAATAGTAGTTTCCATTCTGTGTTCTGTTTAGTGAACATAAGTAAAAAGTGCCCTTAGTGTTCTCTATGTCTCTCCCGACGGATTCTTCCCATACAGTAACAGTGGAACAACATAGGAGGCTCCTGATAGACACCGCTCCACACGGATCCCTACGATTCATTTAGTCTCAGTTGCCTTTATAGGCACTTATGTCGTTGCTTTCTCTGGAGCCAGGGTAAATTCTGAGTACCTTCGATCCGGTCTCTGCATTTGGACACCCACTGAAATTGGACCACCCATGCTGCGTGGCCAAGCTTGCCCCTAACGCCAGTCCGTGGAATGGAACCGGCTCATCAGGTATGGGAAATTATTCCTTGGTTTGCTTAAATCCCGCCTACTTTCCGGCACCCCCGTTGGCTCGCATAGTTCATCGTTCGAAGTCTTCGAGTCCTGTGAACTTTCAAGTGCATTGATTGTAGTGCATCACGTGAACGACGGAGAAAACCCCGAGACAGTCGCAGCAGATCAACAACATCTTTTACAAGCCACGTCAAGCCTCGACAATTTCGGGTGATTGATCTCAAGAATCCCGAAATGAAAGATGGATATAGTGTTCCAGCATTTCGTCTTTTGAGCTCTCCTGCAGATTATCCTCAGTTGATTGCTTGCATGTAACCAGCGTGATTGTCAACTGGACGTTTGTAAAGAGGTGGGGAATTGGCGCCAAATTCTGTTCGCAGGCCGAGGGGAACAAAATGGACGCCGCTACAGGGGAGCGCACTTGAGCGAAGGGGGTTGGTTGAAAACTTCTGTCCTTTCCTCTGCCACACCATGCCCAAGCATTGCAACACAACGAACGTGCCATTACCTTTCGTCCGCTGACAGCCGGATCGTTTGGAGGGACAGGCAACGCGTGTTGGACTGACATGTATCCGGTTTATAGGGTCTCGACTTGAGACGTTTGTGGGCCGGTCGCGGACATGTGAACCGCAGTGAGCCGAGGCTTATGCATTCGTTACGCTGTTCTCCGTCCGGATCAGTCCCGTCTATGGGCCACATGCTTGGGGCCTAGTACGGCAGTGGTCGCTCATTCATTGTTACAGACCACAGCCCACAGCCCATCGTTGTTTCGCATTTGTACAAACCGGAAGACCTTGGTGAAAAATTAATCAAGAACCCCTCCGAATGCAAGTCTTTTTACACCGCAATTCATTAGTTCCAAGTTTGGCGAATCTCTGGTGAAATATAGGCGACCTTATATTGCACCTGAGATTGATATCACTTGGCAGCTCTACTTCTCTGCCTGGTATCTTACCTCCATACCCGGTTTTGAACTTCCTTCGGGGCTCACAAATGCCGTGCGGGTCAACGGTGGCTTATGTTTTTCAACACCCGGCGGTGGGTTCGGGTTATTGTAAAATCCGATCGTGATGCGCACGCGTATAAGACTGAGTCCCAATTGACTCACATGCCTTCACCCGGGATCCTTAATGATACGTTTGCATAGGTTGAACTGTATCGTAGGGTGGGAAGCTGTTTACAAAGTCCAGCTTTCTGTGCTGGCTGATCTTCAGTCGTCGGCAAGTGACAATCACTGCTACTCCAACTAGCTATCAGCAATCCGTACATGCACCTGGCCAATCAGGTGGACATACCTAAACCGTCTAATCTCGTTCGATTATCGCTGCCTTCGCAGCTTATCTCCTATCTGGTGGGAGTACCGCGTGAGCAATGAATGTGTTCGGCGTCGTGTATTTGATGCAGGAAGAGCGAGTGAACCGCTCAGCATCATTATAACACGCACTAAGTTCCGATGGTTGCGCCACGTGTTGCGCATGCCAGCCCACCGACTCCCGCGACGTGCGTTGTTTGCACGCCGGCAGTGTGGACGGAAAAAGGTGAGGAGGGGTGGCCAAACGATGACTTGGTCGAGAGTATTGAAATTCCTTACTTCGAAGTTGGCATCGGTTGGTGTATCCCAAGGTCGTGGCTCGGGTCCGAAGAACAAAGAACACATTTGGTTGGACGCAATTGCTGCTATGGCGACGGGCCGACCTCAACGAACTTTGTGTTGTGACTTCCTTTTTCTTCGCCTTCCCCTTTAGTTTCCCCTCCAATTACGATCTCATGAGAAAGGTAGAATATAACACTTAACACTTTATTACTTTTTGAATTCTTTGCAGGGTGAATTATCAGTATCTTACCTGAGCGGTCTTATTCTACTGTGCACAGAGAATATGCGCTTCGAGTTTGAAGATACCTCGTACAAGCAGACGGAAGTTGTCTCAATGGCATATTTTCTTAGGGATTGATCGTAAAGAACATCGCCACCAACATTGTTGTAGTAACGTTATACAAGTTATATGGGTGGCATCATGAACTTGACAGCAGTGATCATTTCACTCGTCTCTTCGCACTTTTGTATTCGATTCACCCGAATCTGTCTGTATTCTACGAGGTGATAGTCTCCGGATTTTGGACACTACCATCAAGAGGCGGATCAATGGGACACTTCAGCGCATTGTCTATCGCAAAGCGACCTGGAGCGGGCGATGCCTCCAGTTTATTAGCTTTGCTCCTGTTGCACACAAACGCAGCCTTGTGAAAAATCTCTTCTATATGGCCAGGTGAATTTGTAGTGCGGAGACACTACTATCCAATGCGTTTACGGAATGGTTTATCCACAGCAGACCACCAAAATTGTATGCGGCAGAGAATCAACCTGTCTGTTTGTTTCTACGATTCAAAGGTGACCACATCGCAAACGATATCGGACGCAAACTCAAGTGTGCTATGAAATACACTTACACAACCGCCCACTTGCGACTCGTCCACACTACTCGAAGGCTAGTGTTACACCACTGGTTGAGTCGTCGGACTGTCTGGCCTCTTATGTAATCTATCGGTTCACTTGCATTCGCGGTGACATATACATTGGCAGCACTGATCGGCGGCTTCCCCAAACGTTGGCCGAACACCTCCCAAGTTGGTGAAGGCAGTCAATGTTACAAGGCGGAGTGGATCAGGTGATAAAGCGGAACCCTGCTTCATCTATCGCAAAGCATCTAGTGATCAACCGCTTTCAAAAGACTACTGCGTGATAAGAATCCAAAACGATTGCTTATAGGCGGAGCAGTGTTGATCAAGAAGGATCGTTCAACACTGCGCGCACAGAAACAATTAAGGCAATCTATTAGGTTGCCTTGACATTGACTTTTTGTTGCATCCTATTCATAATCGTTGGTTTCGCTTACAGGGTGTTTTATTAATTACGTCCGAAACTAGGAGCAGCTGCGCTCACCTGCTGACGTACCTCGGCACGCCGAATTGCCAGCTGTCCAATGACTCGCATTGCTTTGCCGAACGTTTCGGCAGGGGTGAAGTGGGACTCAGGCAGGACCTGTGTGCTTACGTTCGCAGGGCACAGCAAGGGAACCAGTCGTTCGGTTGTGAGAAGTGCGCGTTAGCCATTGGACATGTCCTGTTTCGATCGATTGGTAGTCGGCTTTCACGCAAGTGAAAATGCCAACAGAAGGGATCCCTGTGAAATGGCTAGTGGCTCACAGTGCTTGCAATTGAGAACTGCCTGGCCCCATGCAATGACCGATAGGCGCTTATTGCTACCGCAATACATGGCAAAAGACAATCACGACAAAATCTGTTATAGCCTGACTGACTTCTAACAAACCCGGAAGCTTTCATTAGGCTGCTTTCGCTGCTAAGGAGAATCATAATGTCAGGAGCACTTTCTAAGATTACAGTGTTTTTCGTTTTATCGTTTCGATTGCGTGTGTGCTACAGCTGAAAATTCAGCCTTCATGGGTGCATAAAAGTAAATACTTGATTTGACTTGACTTGATAGTGCTCTTAGATTTCAGTCGGCCCCGACACATCGGTGGACCATTAGACAGCACACCACTTTAGTCATGAATACAACTATTTCCCTCACAGTCAGAGACTTGCTTGTTGTACAAATTGATCATGCAATTGATGGTGTTTCTCGTGTGCAATCGGGAATATACATTTATTCATTGCTTTACTTATATTTACATGAAATGTGTGAAATGTTTTTTCCAGCAGTGTCTCCGGTAGGTTGTAGTTTAACAGTAAAAATATCTGACATGTCTTAGCTTCCTTGTACCTAAAAATGTTGCAGAACAGCGTCATATCGCAGCTACAGTCAGAAGGATTACAGCCTAACGTTTAGTGGCAGCAGCATAGCTCACCTGTACATTCTGCGCAATACGTTCGTGTCTGCCTGAACGAGACTTTCCATTGACGTTCAATTGGTCGAGGAGGACCGATAGTGGGGCTGGGGCGGTGGTAATGTTCAACCAGTCTCTATCCCAAAACAGATTTAATAAATGGACTTGTATAAACTTACTTACCTTACTTAACTAACATTTAAAATTTGGGAAACAGCTACATTAGACTCCTCTTCACGATCTTGTCGAGCGTCTTTGCCAAAACAGCGGTCAGGCAGATCGGCCGGTAGTTATCCACTTTGCTTGGTGTGATGGAGGCTGGAAATGATGGTGATTGCAATTGCTGCAATGCCGATCGAACGTCACAGGCCAGACCGATAAGGTGTGAGTATGTTGCCGAAGCAGATTGGTCAACCAATCCGGAAATAGTTGGCCCGTAATCGCCTCTACCCTGCAATTATCTGATGAAAGTGTAAGTGACCAATCAGGCGCCAGCAGGCGAAGGAGCGCATACTCGTGCACCGTTGAGCTAAGGCTTGTGGCATTGGACCGAGAGAAGAAGCGCGCGGGCCCAGTCCCGCCAATCGTACATCGACTAAGAAAGCCAAGGTGATTTTAGACAGTGAACGTCGCGAGCAAGCATACACAAATGTGGAAAGGGAGCCAGCGACACCATGCAAATAACCGGGATGAGCCATTGGGACGGACTGTTGTAAATAGTGTATATCCTCTATAAATATTTGAGCGTAATC